ATTCCTGGACGCAGCCCTGATAACTTTTATGACGTCACCAGTATGCCTAAACATAAGTAGAGGTCGGTTAATTCTCCTCGAACTAAAAGATGACAACTTTTTTTTTTTTTTTATACATGTTACAAGTTTTGTAACTTCAAATCTTTGAATATAAAACTACTAAGTTTTATATTCAAAGCTTCAAATGAAAGGTCACGTGAGCTGCTGTCAACAATGTCATTTTTTAGCTCTCAGAGGATTAGCTGAATGGGCAAATAATGCAAATCTCTATCAGTGGCGGCTCGCCGCATGACGCAGGTGAAGCGCCGCTTCACCTTAAATTAACATAAGTTAATAACTTTTAAATAAATCAAACCATTTTGCAATAAGATAAAATATTGAAATTCAAATTTCTCAAATAATTTTAATTTCGGTTCTGGTCCTAGTTGCCGAACGCCACAAACCGTTGAAAAGAATTAAACTGTGGAAAAATGACACTGAGCATTCAGATCACGTTTTTCCAAGGCACTTGACGCGCATTTCAAGAATCGGTCGGACCGCTTCCTACCACCCGTCGGTTGCCATGGAAACGGCTCGTACGCCGACGCCGATTAGCTGAATTTATTATTATTTGAGGCTGCGATTTTGTGCGCGTCTCGCAGTTTGTTGCTCCTGACGTTCGTATAATTTTGATTTTACGGAGTTGAATTCGTTATTTTTCTCTTATTATTTGCCGGTTCGTCTCGTCATGTTTCCAGAATATGATCCGGTGTGTGTTTTTTTGGAAAAACAATTTTCGCAGTGGACGAATGAAGATAAAAAAGGATTTTTCAAGTTCAAATAGACCTTTGCCTGTACTAAATATAAACAAAATTTCGAAGTCCAAAGACAGAGCGTTTACGCGGAAATGTCGCAACGAATGATATACGGAATATAAGTGGTTGTGTAGTAGTTATTATTTGAACAAACTTTTTTGTTTATCTTGTTTGCCAGTCGTATGTTTACCTGTGGTGCTACTTGGTCTGCTTCACCTCTTTCCAAAGGCACGAGCCGCCACTGATCTCTATAATAAGAACCGAATAAATCTAGGAATAAACTATAAACTACACGTAAAATTGAGATGGAGAATGTGACTGATACCTATCTCTATCTATCTTATTGGCAAATTATGGAAATCTTTCCTTGTCTAAAAAATATTATATTTGAAGTTTAGAATATATCAAACCACTGAACTAGAGAGAGAAAGGTAGCCGTCACTATACAGGATTTGGTTCGGTAGAACACCTTGTATAGCTATTTCTGGCACACTGAGAGAGAGACAAATGCTATATCCGACAACGGTTAGATTCATTTCAGTTACTTATAGTTTATTCGTTAAGGTACCCCAAATTACGTCATTAAAGTTATCAGGCAACCTCTACCTTTTTCAAAAAACCTTGGTTTGGACCAAGGTTGTTCAATAGCGTTTCCAATTGGTAGATTTTTTGCGCACTGATTGTATTTCCACATCTTTTCCTCAGCATGAAGAAACAGAGAGAAAGGTTCCTAAAGTTAATAGATTGCTTGGTAATGGTAAACAGATGACGTCATTAGGAGGACCTTATGGAGATTCACATTATGTTTAGGCACCTTAGATAACCTCATAAGAGTTATCGGGCAACCCCGTGAATTTAATAGTTTATCTGGTGATGGAAATCAGATGACTTCATCTGTGGTATCTCATGGAGGTTTGTTTAGGCACCCCAGATGACGTCATAAAAATTATCAGACAACCTACCTTTTTCAAACAACCTTACAGACAACCTACCTCTTGCAAACAACCTTGGAAATACATTTTCTTTGTACTAATTCTATCAATCGGACACGCCATGAAAGAGACAGAAGAGAGGTTGCCTGAAAACTTCTATGACGTCACCAGTATGCCAAAACATAAATATAAATAAGGTTGAATTCTGGCATTTGTGGTTTGGATTTGGTGGAATGTCATTGGGATTTAAGTTGTTTAATGCCGTTTCCGATTGATAGATTTTTTGCGCAATGAGTGTAGTTCCATCTCTTTCTCTCACCATGTTAAAGAAACAGATATAAATACATCAAGGTTCCTAAAATTAATAGGCTATCTGGTAATAAACAGATGACGTCATCGGAAGGAACTAATGAAGATTTGCATTATGTTTAGGCAACCTGGATGACGTCATAAAAATTTCAACCAACCTTGGAAATACATTTTCTTTACATTAACCAATTATAAGCGATTGACCGATCGGTCATCTTGACAGATAAGCCATTAATTAAGTGTCATTTATCTACCAATTAAATGGATTGCTTATCTGTCAAAATGACCGACTGGTCAATCACTTAAAATTGACTATTAATTCTACTAACCGGAAACGTCATAAAAGAGGTAGGTTATCTGATAATTTTTATGACGTCATCAGTATGCCTAAACATACGTAAGGTTTGGTTAATCCTCCTCGAGCAAAAAAATTACTAATTTTATAACTTCAAATGAAAGATCAAGTAAGTATAGGTACCTTAAATGGTCGCGCCTATAAGTTTTTTGTGTTACATTTAGGATGACGTCATCGAACAAGGATAAACAATATTGTCAATGCCTATAGAATTTCGTGTGTCAATAATTCTGAAAACAGCTAAAAATAACGAAACGAATATTGTTCATGATACAAGTCATGCAACGTCGCGCTGTTGCCAACCAAAAACATTTGAAATTTCCCTAGTTTAAGTGCGTTGAAAACTTTGAAAAGTACTTTTAGTTTTGTTAGGTTGGCAGCAGAAATTTACTAAATGTGACGTCATCCTAAATATAGCATAAAAATCCTATATTTATAAAATTGAAGCAAATTGAGATGGAGAATGTGATGAACACTAACACACACAAATGCCATATTTGACAACAGTCGAATCCATTGACTCCAGATGACGTCACAAAAGTTATCAGGCAACCTACCTCTTCCAAATAACCTTAGAAATACATTTTCTCTGCACAAATTGACCTGTCTCGTAATACGATCGGCGCACGCAAGTGAGAGAGTGAAATTTCTGTCAAACTGTCAGAATACTACCTAACTTCATGACCTAACTTTACCTTAAAAATGGTGCAAAATTGTATAATATCCACTATGCAATAATGGTAGAAAAGTACGAAAATTGTTGACTTCTCGGTAACAAATAACAACTGTTAGTTGACAACTACCAACATAACAACAAAAACAACACCACAAGTTCCCACAGGCGAATCGCGCATCATATAGTATGCATCTTGTGCAGTCATACACTTTTCTAAATAGGATTTTCATTTTTCACGAGACAGCAGATCAATTCTACCAACCGGAAACGCCTGTTAACTTTCGTGACGTCATCAGTTTACCTAAACATAAGATAGAGTTAGGTTAATCCTCGTCAAGCAAAAATGTGACAACCACATGTGACCAGTTTTATAATGTCAAATGAATGATCACGTGTACTTCTGTCAACAATGTCATCTTTTAGTTTAGAGGATTAACCGAACTCGCCTGTAATTCAAATCTTCATAAGAAGAGAATGTGACGGATATCCAACTATTTTTGGACACACTAAGTGAGAGACAAATGCCCTATCCGACAACGGTTGGATCCATATAAGGTAAGTGTGGTATGAAGTTCATTGTGAAAATTTAGTGCCACCTTGCATACCAATGACGTCATAAAAGTTATTACGCAACCTTCTCTTTTAAACAGCTTTGATCATTGACATGAAAATCGAATCTGATGCTAATGGGACACAAGTACACACGTGTAAGGGTTATGACGTCACATCCCTTTTAACATTTTCGTCCATTTTCCCGAAATTTACCCTCAAACCGCCGGAATAGATGTTTACACACATCGAAAAATGTAACTCAGTCAGTAGGTACGCCACTGCTTTTTAATTTCAATAAAAAATACATCTTTTTTGGTTTTTTTTTGTATCTAGTCTGGTTTTTGAGAAAAAATAGGTAAAAACCCTTTTTTTGCACGTCACTGGTACTAAATATCAACATTCTGTATCTTAGAAATTACGCATTATATGTTAATGGGAACTTTTTTTCTTTAAAATATTGTAACTAATCACATTCTGAAGTTACGGACCGTACTTAGGAAACACCCTGTATATAAAGGTTTGGAGGAGATACACTGAAATCCATAGAGATCTATAGAGCTACAAGAAGATTTCCACAAATGGAGTTTTCTGTCCTGAAAAATCATAAGTGAATACCTCTAGCCACTGTGGAAATTTTCTGTCCTACAAGAACAGGATGGAGATCTATGGAAATTCATGAATATCAGGTAAGAATACGTGAAGATCCAGTAGAAATATATGGAGATCCGGTGGAAATACGTGAAGAACCAAAAACTTTGGCTGTATAGATATATATAGATGTTAATCCATATGATCTCTATAGAGATACAAGCAAGGATGAGGCATATCCTATTCCAGGATAACCCTGGAGATCCAAGGATATACATGCAGATCTATGAAGATCCAAAAAAATCTTCACAAATGTAAATTTTCTATTCTTAAAAATCGCAAGGTTAAAAAGGACCTCTCAATAATTGTAAATTACAAAAATTGAAAATTAATAATGACATTCACATATAACATTTGACATTTCTGACAATACATCAAAGTAGGCTTTGTAAAGTAGCGATTTCAATTTTTCACATCGATTTTTCTTGCTCCAAGTTTTGAGTCAAAAGACCTACACCTACTCTATTGTAAATTTCCCTAATTAACAAGAGAAATCTTCTATAAAATAATAAAAATACTTTTTGACATTTACATACATCATATTTGACGTTTTTGTACATCAAAGTAGGCCTTGTTAAATAGCCTTTCATTCAAAATCCAATATAAAACCAACCAAATTTTATGGTTGGTTCATAACAAGACTTGATAACAGCCACACATCCAGGGTACCATAAAGATAAAATATTTACAACAAATACACGGGAGATAATGAAAATCGTAAAAACAATAATTACCCCCAAATCTGCACTGGCTTGACTATCATGGCCCATCAAATTCGGCATCAACGTAGAATTGTATCCTAGATTTTTGCACATTGACAACGATATAGTTTCGCATTTTTCCGAACGCACTATTAATAACAAATTGACAATAATTATAAGAGTTTTCATTATTATTATTATTTAATAACAATAATAATCGTAAAATGAAAAAACACTATAGTACTTCTACGTACATAATTCTTTTTCGCGGTACTACTCTCGTACTCAGGTATAAAATAAAAACACGACCGCACGTAACGGCACCGAAAGAGAAAATGAAAAGGCTCCGCTTCTCTCTGTGGTGCGCTTCGGCCCGATACAAAACAACCGCTTATACAAAAGATAAACTTTTTAGTGAGCGGTGCCGTGATAATTTTCTGTGTCCGTCTATAGTCGGTGCGGTACGACCGAGAACTCATCGGTACTACGATAGTACGATTGACAGTAGACGAAAATGTCAAAGACTTAGTTATCAGCCTCGTTTTTGCCATATTAATGTGTCACCATTTCCGACGTCATAGCTAAGTCGTCAGTTGTTTAAGCAGCTTACGTCAAGGTGAGAATTAGGATGCTGCCTACGTCACAACTGATAATTTGACAGGGGTGAGGAAGGGGGGATTTGTTCCACACAAGCCTTACAAAGATAGGCTATCTTGTAGTAGTAGTGTTTTTGTATAATGCTTGGTTCGAAGTATAATCCCAAAAAATGAACCAGGCTCAACAAATATCCCAATTAGTTCCTATTTTTACACCTCTCATATCTCTATCGCATTTTATTGGAATAAGAATGACAAGGACAAAGATACACTTATTCCACGTCCCATTTTAACTCAACTACATTTGTATATCTTTGTCTTTCTTGAGCGATTAGGACGGAATAGAGACAATTGAAATATTGAAATTTTGAGGTGTGATTTTGCAAATTTTATAAATAATTCCGAGTAGGTGGTATGTGAAATGCTTAGAATTTTATGAAAATAATTTGAAGAATATCATTGTCCTCCTCTATCTTAAGCAATTGAAACAAAATGGAGATATTATCATATCCCACTTTATCTCGGTCTCTTTCTCACTCATTTAGTGTTCTGAATTGCTGTCTCCTACTTTATTATTCCAGGCGCTTGATTGGACCGACATAATAATTACTCAAATGTCAAGTAAACTGAATATATGTCATTCTATTATGTCTCCAATTTTTTTTTTTAAATTGAATCTCTTATGTCATTATTTTTTTCCTATTATTACAATTACAAGGCCACTCAAGCCAAGGTTAATTAAAAGAAGTAAGTTGCCTGGTAACTTTTATGACGTCATCTGGAAGCCTAAGCTTAATGCAAATCCTCATAAGAACCACCTGATGACGTCATCTGTTTGCCATTACCAAACAACCTATTAACATTTAGGAACCGTGCACTCAAGCGCCGAGGATAATCAAAATTCGTGTCACAAATTTTTTATCCTATTCTCCGTCTCTTTCTCACTCATTCAAGTTTCTATATTGCTGTCTTAGAACAGAAATTATAAAATCACTCAAGCGCCAGGAATAATGAAAATATGCCTTAATGAATTTGCATTTCATTAAGTCTCTATCTCTTTCTTTTTCATTCAATCATTTATATCACTATCTTTCTCTTATTATTCCAGGCTTTTGATTGGTCAGACACAAAAATTACAAAACCACTCAAGCGCCGAGGATAATCAAAATTCGTCTCACAAATTTTTTATCCTATTTTATTGCCGTCTCTTTTTATCAAGTTATAAATGAAAAGTTTTATTGTACAAGCAAATTTCAATATCCTACTTTATTTTCGTCTCTTTCTTACTTATTGTGTTTCCTATGTCGTCTCTCATTTTCCTATTTTAAGACAAGTCCATATAGCCGAAAATACCCAAAAAATTAGTGTCACGTTTAATTTTATCCCACTTTATCTCCGTCTCTTTCTCACTAATTCAAGTTTCTATATCGCTGTCTCGTATTATTCTAGACTTTTGACTCTTGATTGGTTGGGTACAGAAATTATAAAATCACTCAAGCGCCAGGAATAATGAAAATATGACTCAATGAATTTACTTTTTTTTATGTCTCTATCTCTTTCTTTTTCATTTAAACTCCCCTATCACTATCTTTCTCTTATTATTCCTGGCTTTTGATTGGTCAGACACAAAAATTACAAAACCACTCAAGCGCCGAGGATAATCAAAATTCGTCTCACAAATTTTTTATCCTATTTTATTGCCGTCTCTTTTTATCAAGTTATAAATGAAAAGTTTTATTGTACAAGCAAATTTCAATATCCTACTTTATTTTCGTCTCTTTCTTACTTATTGTGTTTCCTATGTCGTCTCTCATTTTCCTATTTTAAGACAAGTCCATATAGCCGAAAATACCCAAAAAATTAGTGTCACGTTTAATTTTATCCCACTTTATCTCCGTCTCTTTCTCACTAATTCAAGTTTCTATATCGCTGTCTCGTATTATTCTAGACTTTTGACTCTTGATTGGTTGGGTACAGAAATTATAAAATCACTCAAGCGCCAGGAATAATGAAAATATGACTCAATGAATTTACTTTTTTTTATGTCTCTATCTCTTTCTTTTTCATTTAAACTCCCCTATCACTATCTTTCTCTTATTATTCCTGGCTTTTGATTGGTAAGACACAAAAATTACAAAACCTCTCAAGCGCCGAGGATAATCAAAATTCGTGTCAAAAATTTTTAATCCTATTTTATTGCTGTCTCTTTTTATCGATTTATAAATGAATAGTTTTATTGTACAAACAAATTTCAATGTCCTACTTTATTTTCGTCTCTTTCTTACTTATTGTGTTTCCTATGTCGTCTCTCAGTTTCCTATTTTAAGACAAGTCACTCGAGCACCGGAAATACCCAAAAATTAGTGTCACGTTTATTTATTTCCCACTTTATCTCCGTCTCGTTCTCACTAATTCAAGTTTTTATATCGCTGTCTCGTATTATTTTAGACTTTTGACTCTTTCACTCAAGCGCCAGGAATAGTGAAAATATGCCTCAATGAATTTGCATTTTATTATGTCACTATCTCTTTCTTTTTCATTTAATCTCTCATATCACTATCTTTCTCTTATTATTCCAGGCTTTTTATTGGTCAGACACAAAAATTACAAGGCCACTCAAGCGCCGAGGATAATCAAAATTCGTGTTACAATTTTTTTCATCCTACTATATCTTCGTCTCTATTCAACTCATTAAATTTCCTAAAGCTATTTTTGTTGGTTAGTTTCGTGTTACTACTACATCTCCATCTCTTTCTTACTTATTATGTTTCTTATATCGCCTCTCACTTTCTCATTTCAAGTCCATAATGGGCCATTTTCACATATTAACTTCACGTTTCAAATTATCAAGTAGGCTGTGAGCGGCCATTTTGAAACTATATTTTTACAAAATGGCAGAGTAGTCTCGGTTCAGGACTCTGGACTGGAGTTGGAGCTCGATAACGCTTCACATTTTCAATTTTTCTTGATTATTTTTCGATTTTCAGGGCGTTTCAAAAATGTCAAAGTAGGCGCATTAGATACAAGGATAACACACACTACTACTACAGGATTAGCCTATTCTTATAAGGCTTGTATGAAACAAATCTGAAGCTCCCCACCACGCCAAATCACCACTTGTGACGTAGGCAGCATGTTATTTCTCGCCTTGACGTAGGCTGTTTAAACCAATGAACTATGTGTTTAAGTAGCGGCCGACATAGTTATGACGTCGAAAATGGTGACTCACCAATTATGAAAAACGAGGCCGATAAGCAATCCTGTAGTTGTGTATGATCGTTGGATATTTATGCTTTTTTTGGCACAAAATGCGAAATTTGTTCAATGATTATACCTATCCTTTGTTTTTTTATGACGTAGTAAAGGACGAAAATAGTCTCTAGGTGGTGAGTTGTGTAGTGATAAATAAATAAATAATAAAAAACTCTTGCATTTTTACTGATTTTTTTTCGGTTTGTGACGTCACACAGCAGTCTGGCATTCATATGACAACTTAAATTTTTTGACGTTATTGATTTGTTTCAGTCAATTTTTATTTGGCAAATTATATCAAAAGTATATGAACTCTCGTGAAACAAAGGATACTTATCTGTTAGTAATCGTTATCGCTATCTTTTTTTATTTCTTATTGTTAAAAGGAGAAGAGTATAGACAAAGTTAAAAGTGGAAAGGATAGGTAATAATTTTGGATGCTGTGAGCATACTTGTGACGTCATACTGAAGAGTAGCTAATTTGGTTAATGCAATGTGTAAAGTTATATTTTGACAGTGGTAAGTACTTATTTGTAACTAATCGCTATCGCTATCTTTTTTCATTTCTTAATGTCAAATGCAGAAAAGTATATAATCAAAGTCAAAAATGGAAAAAATAGTAATAATTTTCAGTGCTGTGAGCATACTGGTGACGTCATATTGAAAAGTGGATAAAATTATATTTTGACAGTGGTAGTAAAATATACGGTCATAGATAAAAAGTAACATATTATTTTATCGTCGCGCACCGACTAGTTTTCGATTGAGCCTCGGGAGGAATGTTTCATCGAGATCAAAGCTCCTATGCCGCTCCACTGTGTCAAGTTTGTGAAAAAAATTAAGCCAAAATATGGAAAATTGTTTTCTATTTTCTGTTTTAAAGCATAACAACTTCCACTATTTGTAACAATTACTTGTTTTATAATAAACTAATTCAATTAGCTCAATTGTTGAGGCTTTTTTTAGGCCAATTTCTATTGAATTTTACAAAAGAATCATCAACACAGTGGGACAAATTTCGGTATGTATTTTTGTCCAATGATAATTTTTAATTGACTTCAAACGACTAGCGATTAATATTAATTGTCCGCGCGTATGGTTTTTAGCAACAATAATAATAATTATAATAACCGTTACGATAACCGGAGTGCGGTCTTTTTTGATGTTACTATGTGCTAAAAGTATTTAATGACTGGTCTTTTGGCTTTAGCGACAGGATGTCGGGGAACTTTGAGGATGAAAAAAAAAAACTTGTAAAAATCGGCACCTTTGAATGGTTATATTGTAGGTTTTATCAGTTTGTACACAAAAAATCTCTATTAGCTAACAATTTTTTGTGTCCAATTATGATATGACGTCATATGTATAGTAAAATTTACAAAAATTGATAATAAGAACGCAGTACTGTATACTGGACTATAAATAGCTAGTAAACTAGCATAAGTTAGTGTTTAAAACCAACTTGCGAGTCTTTTTAAAGGTTCTTAGGATCCATTTTCCATTGGGTCTCGAGTCTTGACTTAAAAGTCTCAAGCCAAAGAATTGAGTCTTTATAAGTTCAATAGTAAATATTATAGTACAGTTTTCTATGGGGCATCCCAATCGTGCTATCTCTCTCAAGCATAATTTTTTTCTGGTGAACACGCCTTAAGAAGTTTTTACTTCAATAATAAGGTTTATCCGCAACCTCGGGAAAGTTTTACTTGTCAAAGGGAGAAAAGTACTCAAAGTTTCAGGTACGATTTTCAAGTTTAAAGGCCGGTTTACACTTTAGTTAGATGAACAACATTTTCCCTTGCGACATCCGTCTTTCTCAAACAAGTTGGTTACACTTTTGACAGATATGTCAATTAGCGTGCGTTGGTTATAGTTCATTCGTAGTCCTAAAATCGCGTTCACGTTTTTGAAACTGGTTCAAAACCAGTTTGAAATAGTATATTCTCGCGACAAACCCATGATGACGTCACATTCAAACCGTTCAGGAATACAATTCAATCTAGGTTTTTAAACCATTTTCTCGAGCCATGAAATTATGACGTCATTGTGAAACTGTTTTAAACCAGTTTCCAAACTTTGGCAGAAGCTCATGTAATTTTCGATTTTTGAAGTTTCAAAGATCACGTGGGCTTGTCATCTTTTTGTTCGCTGAGGATTAACCGAACACTAGTATTTATTTTGTCGAATTGTGAACGGATCTGTCATTAAGTGTTAACAAGGTTCCTAAAAATTGGTTGTCTGGTAATGGGAAACAGATGACGTCATCGTATTTGGGGTGCCTTTATGGGGATTTGCATTATGTTTGGACACCCCAGAATGACGTCATACAAGTTATCAGCAGGTAAATCACAATCGTGAGCATTGAAAATGGGACTTCCGATTTTTCCTATTGTGAAACGAGCTCATCAGCTGTTATGTTTGACAAAAAATCCATTATAGAGAAAAGACTGTTTTACCCCAAACTTTACCCAAAATAGCGAAAAATGACAAAATCTGTCAGTTAGGTGTCCCACTTTCAATGCTCACATTTTTGTTCTTTCAGCTAATTTAATCTGAATGAAAAATATATCTTTGGTGACGTCATCCTGGAACAAATTTGTTTATGAATAATCCAGACAAGCTTTATTATCCTTGATTTCCAAAATCTAGTTATCTTGTGAATATGCAATCGGAAATGAAAATTTTAAGATGGCGGTCTGATATTTGGACAAGAATGGAGAGTGGAAAGACAGGTCAAATGTCACATTTTGACAAATTTTGTTACACGAGAGAGAGAATTTCAAGCTAGGGAGCTTTATTTGAAATTGATGCAACGTACACGCAAATATTTATGGCGTAAATGACGTCGGTTGCCATTGAAAAAGTGCATGTCAAATAAGCTGTGCATCAAATTTCAATGACGTCATTCGCGTGTATGCAGGTTGCATCAATTTCAAATAAAGCCTCGCTCTGGTGAAGCAAACAATATGAGAATTTTGTTTTCTAATGCGCATGCGTCAATATGAGAGTATTCCAAAAATAAATATCAATTTTAAGCAGCTGATATCGCAAGGTTGCCTGTCATGAAAAAATTACCACCGAAAAAATGTCAATAAGAAAAATACAGCACGTCAAATATCCTCAACTTGATATTATGACAACACCAGACCACAAGAAGCATGTCATAAAATGCCAACTGCTGGCCAATAAAAATCTGGTATTTAACGCATGTGCAGTTGATGACCTTGTTTTACTTCGTTTGACAAAAATAGACTTATGCGAGATCATATATCTCTATCTTTGTTTTAAAATCCACACATTTGAGCTGTTTTTTCGCGGTGGAACTGGCTTAATTCGGTTCGAACCTGTACATTCTTGCGTCAAACCAGTGACGTCACATTGAATTTGGTTTAAAAGAGTTCGAACCGGACTCTTGGCTTGTTCTCCGTTGACATAAGACTGTTCGTCGCGTTCACCAATGATGACGTCATCTACAACTTAGTTTAAACCGTAGTTTGAATCATTCGCCCCGCAAAAAAACGCCTTCGATTGATAGAATTTTATTTTAAAAATGAAAAATGACTTAACTAAAATAGAATTCTATTTATCGTTACAGGTACCTGTATTACTGGCATTTTCGGATTTTGTAGGTTATGTTTGCGTACTTTTCAGAGGTGATTTCGTTCCAATCGATATTTTTTACTCAAATTTTGTTTATTATTGTCTCTAGAATACCAATTCTGGATCCAGTGTAGGTTTTTTTATGTTCGAAACTAATCAGGCGATTAACAGTTACTCTACTTGGTCTGAGATTCTTTTTAGTGCACTAAATTTAACTCTGTTTAGTCGAACTAGTGTTTTAGAGTAAATAGAGTAGAATTATTCATTAAAAAGTTGTATTTATTTTGCTCCTTATACTCAGACATGAACATAATTACTCTATTTGCCATATTTGGAGTGCTCTGAGTAAGCAAATCGTTCAAAATTGTATTTTATTTACTACTTTGAAGTAAATAGAGTAAGTTCGAATATTGAAGAGTATAAAGGCAGTCGAGTTCGGAACAGGTTTTTGGGTTTAAGAACAAATAAAACCGATTTGGAATTGATTCTAGTTGCACCGCGAACAATGATCTGGAACACAATTAAAGATTGTTCGCTTGTGAACCAGTTCAAAACTTCAAAATCTATTCGGAACCAGTTTTAATTGAATTACGAACAATCAATGTGCTCCAATACTTCAGTTTAGTTTATTCCGAATTCGGAACAGTAACTGTAGCAGTCCGAACTCTAAAAATCAATTCTGAAATGATCTGGAATCGGTTCTAAATGAATTGTTAATGTGATTCAGGACACTAATTTAGGATGTTCGTGCACCGTATGCGTTTGATAATAATTTCGTTCATAATTTTTTTTAGTTCGGAACAATAATCGAACCACTCTGAACTCTAAAAACCAGTTCAGAAATGCTCTGGAACTAATGAACTATTGTAAGTTTAATGGTTCTAGGACATTAATGTATGCGTATAATAATTAATAATAAACCAGTTCATGATTTTCTCTAGTTCAGAACAGCAATCGAACTACTCGGAACTCTGAGAACAAGTTCAAAAATTATATGAACAGGTTCTAAATGAACTGCGAACAATTCAATGTGTTCGGAACAACGCAACAATAATGAATTGAACTGTGTTAAAATCTGTTTTTTTTTTTAAAGATAAAAGTCAAAATGAAATTATGTTGGCAATACAATGTAAAATTGTCAATGCTTTCAAATTTTTCATGTAGAAAAGGTTTGTGTTGCCAACATAGTTACTAGATTTTTGACTTGGGGAATTATCTTAAAAAAAAACACACTTTAATATGTATGTTCGATATTAACAAATGCGTAAGCGCAGTTCAATTCAGAACTGATTCTAATCTGAGTCTGAACAAACCTATTCCAAATTAAAATCACTTCAGAGTCGATTTGGAACCGGTTCTAAATGAATTGCGAATAAAAAAGAGTACATTCGATGTGTTCCAGGGCACTTTTATTAAGTTTTTTTATCGTGAACTAATTCAGAACAGGTCTTTAGAATACAAAGAAACGTTTTGGAACTGATTTTAGTTAAACTTTAGATAGTTTGGAACTGGCTCTAATTGAATTACGAACAAAAAATTGAATAAGTTCAATGTGTTCTAGAACACTAATTCGGGATTTTTTTCAATTGTGATCTAATTCAGGGTTTCATTTGACAGTAAACGAGTTCGGAACGGATTTTTGATCAATTTTTAGAACAGATTTGAGCTGTTTTCTCACGGTGGAGACTCGATCTAATTCAAATAGGTTTGAACCTGTATATTCTTGTGTTGAATCAGTGACGTCACAGTTCAAAAAAGTTTGAACCGGACTCTTGGAGTGCGTTCGAAATTACTCTGGGCGTCACACCGACTGCACACCATAAATTGGTGCACGATTGTCGACGTCATTAACTAAATCGTCAGGTGTTTGCGTCAGCGGTCGTAGTTGAGAATTTAAAGCTAATGATGATGAAAAATATACGTCAAGGCGAGAAATGACATGCTGCCTACGTTATCACTAGTGCTTTGGCATCGTGGGGGTCTCGAGATTTGAACTATACAGGCCTTATGAGAAGACTATCATTGGCAGTGTCTAGTGTGTATTATCCTTGACTTCATTTGCTAGTCCATTTTTACCTTCGCCAAACTGTCCAGAAGCCTTGAAAGTTTAACAACATAACCTCATTTTACCATTTGTCCGTGAAAAAAAATTTCAAGTTACCAAAAATTTTCCGAATTATTTCTGTCTTGCTTCAACTGTACAAAAAAGACAAGGACAAAGATACACTGCTCAACTGACATTTGAAAAATTGCAATTTGAGTTTAGTGTTTACCTATTTTGGCAATACACACTCACACATTTTTCTAATTTCAATAAAAAGTTGATCAAAAATGTCGAAAGTGGACTTAGAATTGAAAAAAGTAAGTAATAAATGTACAAAATACCAAAATATCATTGAAAGAATCCTATAGGCCTTTGTAGAATTGCAAGAGAAAAAACTGGCGACCGAACAAAACCTGAGGATATCGAAGGTACAAATTGAAAACCTGAAAAGGTCTCAGCAACGTGCAGTAATAACTGGAAGAGAAATCTCAACCTTAAAAGACACAATCAATACATACGAATCAGTAGGCAGGATGTTTGTGCTAACACCCAAACCTATAGTGGAAGAAAAAATCAAAAAAATAAAATCTGAGGCCGACGAGAAAATCAAAACCCTAGAAACTCAAATGACTTACTGGGAAAACTCCCTTAAAGAAGCCACTGATGTTTTAAGGGAACTTGTACAGTCAAAAAAATAATTTATATGTGTAATTTTTAATTAATAAAAAACTTAATTATTAGCTATAGCGGTTTCAAAAAGTAATGGTTCCAGCTCAGGTTCTTTGTCAACGTTTTGGGGTTTATGCATTAGCTTGAAAATTCCTGTGCCAATTGGTGCTGGCATGCCCATTATAATGTTTTCCGAAACTCCACTAATTTTGTCAGTTTGTCCATAGTAGGCGGCATCAAATAGATGATCTGCGGTTTTCTCAAACTTAAAGAGAATTTGAGTAAAAATTTATTTGCACTAATTTTTGTTGGGTCTTGCCTAGGCTTAACCCTTGTGAGATCACGCAACCCTGTCTCTAAACATTCATTTTAATCTCAAATCTTACCCTCTTTGTCTATGTCGTTTAGTAGGGCTGATGTGTGTGCACTGTAATTATCATAGGGTCATATTCAGCGCGGAGTTGGAGTGGAGTGAACAGAGCTAATGGAGTCACCCCTAATATGGTAAAAAGCAATAACCGAACGGCTGGAGTCACTCGGAGTGAGCAAGCCGAACCCACCTCATGTAACTAATAGGTAAACTTCCCACAAATATTGAGTCAACTCCTCAATGAGGTCAAAAGTCAAGACCCCCAAAAGTATTCGTTTTTTAACCTTCAGGGGAAAAACATTTCTAGATTTTAGGATCTGTGCCCTCGTGAGAAGTGTTTCGTCTCTGATAATAGCCTAGTTTTAATAGCATAGCAGTAGAGTACTCATACTACTACTGTAAATAAGTAAAAAGAGTAGAGTACTTAAAGGTACACCTATAAAAGTTTTTTTAAGGCAACTCTGCTCCTAGGGCACATACCGCTATCTTGGAGGGAAGCTAATGTGAGCATTACAAGAATGGGATGCCGAAGTCCATATAGAGGTCACCAGTAATTCAAGAATTATTGGATAAGGAAATCGACGTGATGTTACGGTTGGATGTTATCGAGCCTTCAAGTAGTCCTTGGGCATCTCCGGTTGTCATGGTGAGAAAGAAAAATTGAGGTTTTATGTGGATTATCGGAAGCTCAATGCGCGTGACAATTATCTCCTCCCGATAGTCTCAGAAACTTAAGGATACCAAATATCTTAGCAGCCTAGATATTAAAAGGTTGAGGAAGCCTCGAAATCCCTGACTGCTTTCAGCTGTCATCGAGCTTGAGTTTTGCCGTATGCCATTCGGACTTCATAATGCACCAGGCACACAGTATTTGTTTATTCGGATGATATGGTGATAGTTTCACACACATTTACATACCATTTGAAAATTTTAGAAGAGGTATTCAAACGACTAGGAGAAACTGGTATAACATCAGTCAGCTGGAAAAAATGTCAGTTCTGCTGGCCAAAGATGAAATATTTGGGTCGACAGCGTGAATTAAGAGTAGACCCTAATAGAGTAAGGGCTAAGGGACACGTGGAGAGCCTACTGTGATGGAATTAACAGTGTGGCCCAAGCATCCAGACTCTGCAATGTCCTAAAAAAAGACCCATGCACGAAGGTAGCTGTATCAGGAGAGGGAAGTAGATCGAATATACGTAATCTCATAGAAATAAATACCTTAACATTTCATTAGAAGATTTTATGGAATTTTTGAATTTGTTTTTTTCAGAATTACAGTATCGCATTTCATGAAATTCCTCGGAATTCAATTTCAAAATTCCATATTTTTTTTTTTAACTTTACTAAAATTCCTCAAAATTTTACCACTGAAATATCTTGGAATTCCACAAAATTTTCATAAAATTCTACGGAATTTCATTGACATTTTATGTAATTTCTTAAACATTTCTCGGAATTCACTAAAATTTTATGAGAATATCCACATTCATAGCCGAAAATTTCTCGAATGTCCAATGAAACTTCAAGGAATTTTCAAAATTTAATTTATTTTCATAAGAATTTTTCGGAATTTCACTGAAATTCTCTTTTAATAGCCAGGAATTTCTGAGAATATTAATGAAGTTTCAAGTGATTTCTTAAAAATTCATCAAAATATATTGAAATTTCATGTCATTACATGGTAATTTTTCGGAATATCACCGAAATTCCATGTTTTTAGCTGGAAATTCCTCGGCATTACTAAAATTCAGTAAAAACTGAAATTTCATGTTGGGAATTTAGGTGTAATTTCATGTAATTGTTTAAAATTCCTCCATATAATTATAATTCATTTAGGATTTCGTGTAATTCGATCGAAATTTCACTGAAATTTCAAGTAATTCGAGAGGAATTAAAATTTAATGTGAATTCTATGGAAAATTTCACATGTAATTCCTTTTTCAGAATAACATAATTATTCTACCGAAATTCCTCGAAATTCCACTAAATTATGGAATTCTGAGATTTTAACAGATTTTTGGGGATTCCAAAGGATTTTTGGGGATTCCAAAGGATATTAGGGAATTTTAAAGGAAATATTTTTCAAAACTGTCAATGATTAGGTATAAAATAACCTATAAATCGAGATTTGATAAAAACATATGGCAACGCTGCTCATGATACAACAAACGTCAAAAAATTAAAATATCAAAGTAGGCCTTGGCTTTTTTGACAGTCGATATAAAATGGCGTCTTTTTGTTTCAAAGATTACGATGCGAAGGGCCGAAGTATTAAAATCAGTTAACAATCAACGGGTTCGTATAATTCCGGCCCTTCGGGCTCATGATTAAAATAACTCCGGCCTGTCGGGCTCGTATAACTCCGGCCCTTCGGATTCGCATGATTCCGGCCCTTGGGACTTAGATAACCTTGGCCCTTTGAGCTCATAATTGAGATAACTTCAGCCTTCCAGAATCGAGATTCGAAAAAAAAAAACATATGGCAACACTGCTTATAATACAACAAACGTCAAAAAATTGGCACTGTTTGGCTACTTTCTACATATTCTCCGAGGCTAAATCTATATTACTGTATTCCTTTTACCCGTTGAGTGACTCGGAGCTGCTCAATGTCAAAAGCTTGAACGTTCCTTTTAAAAGTGCGTTAAGCACTCGAGTCGCTCATAGTGCATCCCCCTTTCCCCTGATGCACCAAATTTGCGGGGAGTGCTAGAAGCCCTTTTAGGTAATGACGGTAATGTTAATATTAAAAAATAATGATAAAATCTGAATTGTGTGTTTTGGAGTGACTCCGAGGAGCTCGTTAGGTGTAACTCGATGTATAAAAGGAATACAGTATATGTCTATGTGTTTTTTTTTTTTTTTTTTAATTTTGACAACTGTCAATGTCAAAAATTTTTACCTTTTCTTTTTTTCAAAAAACAAATGTCAGAAAACGATCCCCAGGTTCCGAAAACCCTAAAATAAGAAGTTTCATCGATATATGTCAAAAACCAACCCCCTGGCAACACCGAACGTCTTTTTTGACATATGTTAGAAAAAAAATTGATACTTCCTACGTATTCGACGAGGCTAAATCTATATGCCCATGTAGGTTTTTTAAAATTTTGACAGCTGTCAATCTCAAAAAAAAAAAATTCTTTTGTTTTTTCCGAAAAAAAATGTCGTTTTTTAGTGGGTGAGATTTATGTAACAACATGTAGCAACAGTTGCTACAAAAAATTCAATTTCCCGTCGGGTTTGGAATTCGAATTTTTTGAATTTTCCCGGCTCCTGATTGGTTTGGGAATTTGAATTTTGATTATTCCCGGCTTTTGATTGGCTTTAAATTTTGAATATCCCCGGCTCTTGATTGGCTTTAAAATAACCTATATTCTCGGCCCTTCGAGCTCGAGATTTGAAAAAAAAAAAACATATGGCAATACTGCTCATGATACAACAAACGTCAAAAAATTGAAATTTCACACCTTGGGTTTTTTTGACAATCGATACAAAATGACGTCTTTTTGTTTCAAAGATTACGGCCCGAAGGGCCGGAGTATTAAAATCAGTTAACAATGAACGGGTTCGGATAAAACTTTTGTTGCACGACACTTTGGCAATATCGACAGATGTCACCTGTCAAATTTGACACATGTTCGACTTTTTCCCCGCTCTACTATAAAAGCTACGAAAATCAAACCCCGGTACAAGGCAGTTTCACGACGCCAACTATCGATTTGTGTCAAAAAAATTTGACAGCTGTCAACGTCAAAAAAGTTTATTTTGTAAATTTCGAGAAAAAAAGTAATAGAAAACGATCCCCTGGACCCCAAAAAACCAACGAAAATGACATTCCAAAACCTACTTGATAAAACTAAAGTTTTTCTCACTTAAGGCTGGTTCATGCCTAAATTTTTTTTCCGTTTCTTTAACTTTTTCCTTATGCATAAGGTTTTCTTTTTCCGTAAAGTTTAAGGTATTTCATGCACCAAAAATTAAGAGTTTATTAGGAGTCTTTGATAACGACACTGTTGACGTGTGCATGGAAAACTGCTGGAAACAGCGAACGGTTTCATAGGATTTCCTATGTCAATTGACATCTATTTGGTTTTATAAATATTATTCCCAGGCACGTATTAGGCAATTCAAACCACGTGACATTCAAGATGGCGTGGCGGCCACACATGGGCCAAAAAACACGAAAAAATATCTATTTTCTGCCGGAATTAATAGTTTAGGTACCTAGTTAACAAATATTTTATTAAGTAAATAATGAAAATCAAAGTTGTAAGCAAAACTGTATGCAAAATAATTTAAAATACGCATAAAAACATCTTCAAAACAAACTTGCTTGGCTGCCACGCCACATTGAATTTTCCTTTTTGACAGATAGATTGAATTGCCTAAATTTGTTGTTTACGTTTAAGGCCGGATTTTCATGCATCCGTTTGTCCGACGAAATATGTCCGAAAAGTCTTCTATTTTGACATATTTTTATACGATTATGTCAGAATAGAATGTTTTTCGGACATCTTTCGTCGGACAAACGGATGCATGAAAATCCAATCCACCCTAACGATTTCCTGTTTTTGAGGTTAAGTCGAGAAATTTGAATGTTTTTATCTACTGCGCAGGCGTCGTCGATTTTATCCGTAACTTTTTCCGTAAAAGATAAAAGTTAACTATCTTCAAAAGAGAATAAAGAAAATGATACGGAAAAGTAATGTGCATGAACACCTGCATATAAATACATGCAATTTATACATTACTTACGGATATAAATAGCGACTAAGTTACAGAAACGGAATAGTATATTTCCTAACTAGTGCTTGATTGCTTGCCGAACTCCGCTACGCGTCGTTCGGCAAACTGCAATCGCATGCGGAAAAGTAGCACTTTCCGCACGAGTTAGGAACACTATTTTTTCTATAAGATAGAAGGAATGTACCTACGTAATGTAAATTTGACAACATTTCTTTTGCAACACCTGGTATTTAAAACAAATTGAGTAATTTCTTCTTAATATAGGTTAGGTACTCGTACAAATATAACTTATTTTTTTAATAATAATAGTTATTTATACACCAAGTGAGTTAAATGAATGTTTACTCATGAGAAGAAAGTTTAACCCACGAGCCCCAGCAAGTGGGTTAATTTTCTTCGAATGAATAAACATGTTAACTCACGTGATGTATACAAAATTTTATCCCATTTTATAAAAATTTCAAAAATAAAGTACAAGGAAAAATGCCGGGAGTGAGTTAAAAATATTTTAAATCACTGAGGTTTCAGATTTTTAATTGGGCAGAGTGACTTAAAATGCCGAGAGTGAGTTAAAATGTTTTTAAATCAATGAGGTGATAAACGTCTACTTACCTTTATTGTTATGCGTTCAATAATAGGTCTGTTCGTAGAGAAATCACAAACCAGTCAGAGCGAATTTCATTGGTTGAAACAAGTTTTCTGACTGTTTCTGACTGTTTTCAGCCAATAAAATTCGCTCTGACTGGTTTGTGATTTCTCTACGAACAGACCTAATGTCCTTTTTAAACGTCAAAATGGGATAAAAAAAATTAAATCTGAAATAATGTGCCTTATTCTGAAGACAATAAAATCGAAAACTTTTAACAATAATTATTTGTACGTTTGATGTATCTACTATGAAATTTTCGAAATTTTTAAGCATAAAGTAATCATTCTATAATAACTTATTGAGAAGAAAAGTAAAATTTAAACCGAATTAATTTAATAAACGACAATATTGTTTCAATAATTCTCAATGCTGATATTTGTTTGAGTGTGTCAGCTTATAATTTAAAAAGTGACATCTGTCAGTTTTCCGTGTCACTTTTCCTCACGCTCGTAGAAAAAATATTTTCATGCATGAACCAGCCTTTACCCCGTTAAAACACTGGAAATTTTTGGTGGAAAATGAAGAAAACTCAAAGCCTCGTACTTTAAATCAGTTTTCCTGACTGAAAAAGCCCCGGAAAAGTGGAAATTCGAAGAAAAACTGAATAAAAATGTAAACACGTCAATTGAAAATGGCCGACTGTCAAAAATGCTTCCTTGATTGAATTTAGCCTCAAGCGATGTTGCCACATCAAAAGCATTTTAAATGGGATTTTGCTAATTATGGTATTTAAAACTAGAAATTTTTACTAAAAAATGAAGAAAACTCAAGCCTCATAATATGTTAAATTGCTTTTTTCCATTAAAAAACTCCGGAAAAGTCGAAAATTCGAGAAAAAACTGGTAAAAAATCACAAGGCGTCACTTCAAAATGGTCAATTAAAAGCAACGACGTTGCCACATCTCATCTCGGAAAACAAAAATAACATTTTAAAAGGTTTTTTTGTTTAAAATTCAATTTAATAAATAATTAATAATGATTATAATAATTAAAATTCCCCAAATAAATCATAGGAATAGTATATTATATACCTAGGTAGAGAAGTTGGTCATTATATACCGAACGCTTTTATAAACCGAGGCGCAAAGCGCCGAGGTTTATAATGCGTGGGGTATATAATGACTTTCTCTACCGAGGAATATACAGGGTGTCTCATAAGTCACGGTCCAAACTGAAAGGGGTGATTCTTTGGATTATTTTATGACTAAAATTTTTAATAAACATATGTCCGCAACCGCTTCGTTACCAATCTACAGGGTGTTAAAATTTCAATATTTTTTTAGGTTTTTCTTTATAGCTCCTGCAACTTTTGAGAGATTCAGCTGAAATTTGGAATATAGGTGACGCAATAGGAGCTAAATAATTGCATATTTCAAACGTTTGCCAAAATTCACAGGGTGATGTTTTTCCAGGGGTCATATGCCCTTTCTAAGCCCTTTTCTACCCTTGAACTTTTTTGCGGTGCGCCGCTGGTAGATCCTAAAGAACTAAATGACTTTTCTACCTATTTTAGAAACTTTTTGTTCTCTTGTAATTTTTTCGAATTACCGACCCTTATCGAGAAAAAAATTAAAAAACAAATCTTTGTAAATAGCTAGATGAAACTACAGTGACTCAATATACCTTTTCTACCTACAGTGATGACAATAGAAGTCCCGCCGCCATATGCTTGGTCATTTTCAGTAGGAATCTAGAAGTACGCCACGCCCTTGCCGCCATATTCTTGCTCAATTCCAATATGAATACATTAAAATTTCACCACCCTGTAGATCTGTAACGAAGCGTTTGCAGACCTGTTTATTTGAAATTTTAGTTATAAAATAATCCAAAGAATCACCCCTTTCAGTTTGGACCGTGACTTATGGGACACCCTGTATAGAATTTTTTTTACTACTGCTAGTAGAAAATAAAAAAAATTGTTTAAAATGTGTGCTCTTAATTATTTTTTTTTGAACGCCCTCTTCAAAGTGCTGCCATCTATCAACATCTTATGATAACTTACTATGTACCTACAGAAACCTGTATTTTTTTTTAAATTGACGTATGAAATTGAAATTGAACCAATAGAAACATGGCAATATCCTTGCGTCATGACGTCATTTTCATTATTGACCTAGGTATTTTTTCATTATTTTCATTATTCACCTAGGGAGAGAAATTCAATTTTTTCCTAGAAAAATAGATTGAATAATGACTATTTCTCAGGTTAGTAGTTGTTTTTACATAGTTTAATTTCAATGAAAATGACATTACAAGGTTTCCTTATTGATTATAGTGAGTAAGACAAAGACAACGATAAAGTAGTATAAGTTTGCAAAAACCACCGTTTTCTGAAAAAAGTAAAAATCTTAAGAAAACCAACATTCTAAAATCAATTTGATAAAACTAAAGTTTTTGAATATTCCCGGCTCTTTGATCGGACGCTAAAAATCGCATTTTAAATACTCCCGGTTTTTAAATGGCTCTAAATTATCCACTGACCAATAGAATTATAGACTGAGCCCCGTGATTAAAATAACTGTAGCCCGTCGAGCTCGCATATAACTCTGGCCCTTCGGGCTCGCGTATAACTCTAGCCCTTCGGGCTCGTATTACTTCGGCCTCGCATATGACTCCGGCCCTTCGGGCCGGTATTACTGAGTATCCCAGATTCACAGATTTTTGTCGTGGAGGCGCGGGATTGATTGAAATAATGTTGTCACATTTTTCTAAATTACATTGAAATATCGAAATTTGGAAAGTGTAATTTGTGAATTATTATTTTAATTAGAAATCAGGAATAAAAAATTGAGATTGAATTTTCAATTTTTTGAGGGAGGTTTAGCCTCCCCTGCCTCATCTGACGAGCCGCCACTGAGCACACACCGATCAGCCGTACTAGATAATATAGACAATGTTCAGAGGCGGGGTTAATGGGGAGATCTCACAAGGGTCAAACCGACGGCACAAACCCCAAAATAATAATTAGATTTTGGTACCCTATCTCACAGTCTATATTATGTCAGGTATACATAATTACTTACCGAAGCTAAATTCAATACAGATTGTTTCATTTTGGACAATCCTTGCCTGGTAATCCCTAAAACTTCCCCCGTATGAGTCATTTGAGCTGCAAGCAACATTATATGCCGATAATCCACGCTCATACCGTGATTTTCCATTACCATTTTTATTTCGGTCATGATTGTTTCTCTTGCAGCTTCTATACCTAGTGTATTGTAAACTTCTATTACGTTATTCGAAATTGTCCTGGTACCATCAACACCGTAAGTGGCCATTACTTCTCTTAAATTGTTACCTTCGACGCATAAATGATAAGTTGATTTGCCTGCTTTGTCTTCACGGGCTATGACTGCCCTATTTACTGTAGGCAGACCCTAATTTTGAAAAAATCTTAGTTAATATCTTCTTCACACCAAAGTAACATGCAACGTGTGATTTGCTGCTAGGAAGCAAAAAGCATACCCCTTAGCATTCTACTTTGGTGTGAATGCTCACTTATAAATATTTAATTATTATTACCTTTACAACGACATTTGGAATCTGATCTTTGAGCTCACTCAAAGCAAAATTAAGCCTCCTAGAGTGTAGACTTTTATTCGGATGTACAGTTATTATAGTATCACTTTCCACCAAAACATCAGCCGGTTTTAGTTTAAGCTTAGAAGTTTTAACAATGCTATAACGAATACTTTCAGCATCAACTTCCAGTTTTAGTAACTTAATTCTTTCATAATCAATTTGTATTAAAAGAAAAGCCTCATCTGTAGTATAAACATCATCAATAAAAGTAGAAATTTCTCCCAAAGTTGTCCGTTCAATACGGCCTTTAACTTCTCTAGCAAACCATGAATCTTCACTGTTAATCAAATTGGCATTTATTATAGGAGTACTAATAGTTTTTGTCGCATTAATAATCTCCTTAATCCTCGGTACTCCTTGGGTGATGTTCATACTAGCCACTCCAGCAAAATGAAAAGTTTTCAAAGTCATTTGAGTACCAGGTTCTCCGATACTTTGAGCGGCCAAAGCCCCTACAGCAGTACCAGGCTCGATAATAGACCTTGTGTATTTGAGGCCGCAAGTTTCCAAAAACGTTACCAATTGGCTACAGGTTAATCGTTCGATTTCTTTTACTACTTTGGTATAACCGAAACGTTTAAGGACTTTGTCAGTTCTTTCAGCTACTTGTTCCATGAATTTTACAAGTTCTTTCCTGAAATCCTCACTACATTCGTCTAAGGCCCCAGTTTCCAATAAGGCTTTTGTAGCTTGAGTTATTTGATGGCCGTTTAAGGATACTTCGTTTCTATAGGGGCATTTGGCTTTTACATGTTCCAGTACTCGTTCAAAATCGACTGGACAATCTTTGCCTTCCATGTAAGTGGGATCCAGGCCGTCGCAGCCGTAAGCTAATTGAACTATATCGCCTTCGGCGTTACGGACTGATTTGTCGTAGTGGACAACCAAATCTTCTAGAGACTAAAAACAAATTAATTGTGAGGCTTTCGCGGCCTAAGTTTATTGATAAGAGGTTTTCATTAAAGTTGGAATTTCTTCTTGAGGTTTTGCTAGCACGCGTAGGTAGCATTTTTACAGGTGTTTCTATGTCCGATTCTGGTAGCAGACTGACGCGTCCCCGGACCGTAAGTTGTATTTATATGTGAGTGGCTGTGGTGGGGGAAGAATTCGAGAGGAAAGCTAGAATAGAGAACTACTTCACCTACACCTGATGCTCAGCAATAAAATACATAGGCAAAGGATTGGAACAAAATTGATACCATCTCATACTTAAGATAGATAGAGATAGGTATCAGTCACATTCTCCATCTCAATTTTACGTGTAGTTTATAATTTATTCCTAGATTTATTTGGTTCTGATTATGGAGATTTGCATTATCTGTGCATTTGGCTAATCCTCTGCAAGCTAAAAGATGACATTGTTGACAGCAGCTCACGTGATATTTGATTTGAAGTTACAAAACTTGAAACATGTATAAAAAAAAAATAGTTGTCATCTTTTTGTTCGAGGAGGATTAACCGACTTCTACTTATGTTCAGGCATACTGGTGACGTCATAAAAGTTATCAGGCAATCTCTCTTTTATGGCGTTTCGGGTTGGTAGAATTAGTGCCAAGAAAATGTATTTCCAAGGTTGTTTGAAAGCAAGTATGATACACATTACAGGATGGCCTATCATCATAAGGCCTGTGTGTAACAAATCCCCCTACGCCAAATTACCAGTTGTGACGTAGGCAGCATGTATGATGTTTAAACAGCTGACGGCTTAGTTATAACGTATGAAATGAATACACCAATATGGCGACAATAACCATAAACGAGGCCGATAAGCAATCCTGTAGATATGTATCATCCTTGGTTTGAAAGAGCTACGTTGCCTGATAACTTTTATAACGTCATCTGGGGTGCCTAAACATAATCCAAATCTCCATTAGGTCCTCCTGATGACGTCATCTGTTTACCATTACCAGACAACCTATTAACTTTAAGTACCTTGATGTATTTCTATTTGTTTCTTAAACATGTTGAGAGAAAGAGGTGGAAATACACACAATGCGCGAAAAATCTACCAACTAGAAATGCTATTAGGGCAAAATTTGTAGACGTTCCTTAGAGCGTCCTCGAGGGGCGTTTGTTTAAAATGAATCCTTTTTACTATTTTACAAGTCTATCAAGTCAATTCTAAACGTCCAAGGCTTTCTTAAGCTCCAAGGAGTGACTACAAATTTAGCCCTTGAACAACTTTGCCTGATAACTTTATGACGTCATCTTGGGTGCCTCAACATAATGCAAACTTCCAAAAGGCACCCTAGATGCATCATCAAGTTACTTATTACCAGGCAACCTATTAACTTTAGGAACCTTGGATTGCCTGATAACTTTTATATGACGTCAGCTGGGGTGCCGATTTATTAGGTCTTGATTAATATAAAAATGACGGATTTTTTGAAAGCGGTTCAAGCTGGTCCCGATTCTAATGACGTCATTGATTTAATAGAACGAATGCCCAAATATCTCATTTTTGTTTTTGTATTAGTTTCTAAACAGGGTTCTCATCATCAGGATCAACAACTGTCATGACGTCATAATTTGTGAATTGCATACGAACTGTTTCGTTTTGGTTCACCTTGGTCATAAAATTTTATAAAACGAAAATGCCTTTAATGCAAATTTTTATAAGGCATCTTAGGTGACGTCATGAAGTTACCCATTACCAGATAGCATAAACCGAATTTTCGTGACGAATGTAGTTCATTAAGGACGAATCATAGTTCGCCTGTGACGTCATGAGTTTGAACGCTGGCTAGAAACTGCATCCATGCTTCCATCGAATAACGTTCAATATGACGTCATGAGTTGCCCGCGAAAGCGCTTGTGTTCATAAAATTATGGAAGTAGTTCGTCGTGAAAATTCGGTTCTCTATTTACTTCAGGCACCTTGGATCCAAACCACAAATGCCAGGATTCAATATGGCGACAGTGGTCAAGCATTTGTGATGTTCGTTTATTTGACGTACGTTTTCAATCGTTTTGATTTTTGAAGCTTCCATTTCTGTTGTGTGGTCTTAAGCACTTTTTTAATAAATATCAACACCCTGTATCTCAGAAATAATGCATTTCCGGACACATTAGAGAATAGAAAGTACCTGCTAGGTAACAACCAGACACTTACCAGTTGGTCCATAATTTGGCCCTAAAGTTAAATAGGTTGTCTGGTAATGAGTAATTTGATGACGTCATTTGGGGTGCGTTATGGAGATTTGTAGTATGTTGAGGCACCACAGACGACGTCCATAATAGCTATTTATGTACCAAGGGGATTATGTAGATTATAATGCCCGAAGGCGAAACTAGCCCGAGGGCCTATGGCCCGAGGGATATATTTCGCCTGAAGGGCATTATAATCTTGAAATCCCCGTGGTGCATACAATGCTTTATTTTCTACTCAACACAATGTTTTTTCATCAATTTGTTATTAACAAATTCAGTTAAACTTGTGTGACAGAATATTGTTTTGTATTTTGACATGTACCTGTACCTGTGACCTGTACCTGTACCTGCGACCTGTACATAGAAACGAAATACATTAATATATCTATAAACATCTCATAAGGCAAGGCAACGGTGGTGGTCCTGTGGGTTAACGCGCTGGACTACATGGGAAAACGTTGATGGTAGACCGGGTTCGAATCCCGGCTAGACCGAAAAATTATTTTCGGTCAGACATTTAGTGGCTGCCTAGGGTAAAGTGCAAATTAATAGAACAACAACCAACAAAAACACCTTAAGGTATTATAAGCGGGCGTTATAGATCAGGTTGTTATAGGTGTGTTAACGTATTTCGTTTCCTAGGTATTATGGATCTATAATAGTAAAGTAGAAAATAAAAGTTATTAGGCCACCTTAACTCTCTCAAACAATCTTGGTTTTATGCGAGTTGGTATGTAACGAAAACATGCAACGAGAGACGAAAATTGGAAAATGTTCATGACAATATTGTCAGTAATGACATGAAAAATGACATTCTGACATCAGAATTGAGCCTACTTTGATAAATTGTCAAAAATGTCATAAAAAAAAATGATTTTGTAAAAGATGGCCGCGTTTTATTTCTCATCGATATATCCATCATTATGAGACAGTCATTCCGATTTTATGAACTAGACAAAGATAGACTGCTCATCGATGGATTCACCGGTGAACGCGCTTTACTTATCAATGTCTAATTATTTCAAATTCTGAAAATGTATGATCAATTTTGATACCGATTCTATGCCTCTATTAACTTTATAAACTGTCAGATGGGTAATGGAATCTGACGGATAAAAACGCAATCTGTAATCCCATTGGTCGGCCAGTTATCCGCCGACCAAATTTATCTTGCAGATAGTTACCAGTGTTATCAGCAAGTATATCTGAAGATGAATAAACTGGGTCTTAAACTAAACGACAGAAGTGAAAACCTTTCTGGTATTTGTGGTTTCGATCAAGGTTGTTTGAGAGAGGAAAGTCGCCTGATAAATTCTATGACGTCATCTGTATGCTATTACCCGACCAAGTTCCTAAAGTCCCTGCGTTTTTATTCTCATCAAATCTTACCAATTCTATGTCGGTCATTGTTATTTCATTCACTAAACAAAGATAGCTAATTCATCGGTGAAGTTACCGATTAGAATAAAAACGAGGGGGTTAATAGGTTTTTTGGTAATGGGTAACGTCATCTGGGGTGCCTTATGGTGATTTGCATTATGTTGGGGCACCCCAGATGACGACATAAAAGTTTTCAGGCAACCCACTACTACTACAAAATAACTTATCCTCATAAGGATGGTGTAGATCAAATCTCAAGCCCCCCATCACGCTGAAGAACCAGTGATGTCGTAAACAGCTTGTCGTTTCTCGATTTAACGTAGGGTGTTCGCACCACAGGTTATGTTGTTTATTTAATTCATAAAGCAAGAGCATGAAAGGCTCACTTTTGGCAATCTTTCTCAAGAACACACGATGTAAAATATAGAGAACGCTATTTCACAAGGCCTATTGTCAAAAATGTCATATTTCACGTAAATGTCATAAATTCTTCGAATGACATTAAAAGCGACCTTTTAATGACATTTTTTCGAGTCAGCTCAATTGAACATTAGCATTAGATAGCAAAGAAAATGTATTTCTATTTGTAATTGGCTGGTTTCCTCTAGCCTCAGCTATAAAAAACCAAACAAGGCATTGAATCTAGTGCTTTTCCGCCTAGTAAAACAAAACCTATTTATTTCCTCTAATGGATGGTGAGCTGAGTAAAAAAGCTCAGATTCGAAAATATGAGAAGTTCTGTAAGAGACAATCCGAAATTCCTCAGCACTTAATAAATCCAGACTGGTCATCAATCTCATGGATCGAGTTCTTACCGAAGAGGGAGTCGTCTTGGCAAAAGGTGGTAATTTCGCAATCACTCCACAACACCTGTCAACGGAGAAGATTATAGTCAGCACTTGAGCAGCCATTAGCCATCACTACTTGATGTGGAAGCGGAAGAAATCTGTATTGAGACGGCAACATTCTACGGAAGGCTCGACCACCAACCAATAAACCCTGGCACAAAAATTGCAGCAACCCTGACGCAAACGTCAAAAAATTTGATATGTCAAAGTCAAAGTAGGCCTTGTAATTTTTGACAATTAATTCAAAATGGCGTTTGTTTGTTTTTTGTTTTGAGAGCCCCCTTTTTTTTTTATTCGGAGCCCCGTTTTTTCTGCTAAATTTAGTGTTTTTTGAGTGCAAAGTAGCTCTAACACCCTCTGAGTAGGACAAGGAAAGAGATAAAGTAGGATGTAATTCAAGTGCTCACTTTTTTTAAAAGAGGCAGAAAAACCTTATCTACCCCTAATTTTAGTATTTAAAACTAGAAATTTTTGGATAAAAATGAAGAAAACTCAAAGCCTCGTACTTAAAATCGGTTTTCCCGATCAAAAAAGCACTGGAAAAGCGGAAAACCAAAAAAAGTCCCCTAAAAATGACAATTCAGAGTCTACTTAATAAAACTTGAGTTTTTGTCCCTTACCCCATTGGAAAACTGGAAATTTTTGGCAAAATATGAAGAAAATTAAAAGTATCGTCTTATCAATCGGTTTTCTCTATTGAAAACGGCGTGGAAAAGCGGAAAATTCGAGGAAAAACTGGATAAAAACATTCAAAAATTACCGACTGTCAAAACTGGGAAATAACATTGTGCGACGTTGCCACATCTCAAATAGGAAAAAATTACATTTTAAATACTTTTTTGTTTAAATAATTAATTATGAATGTTTATTGTTTATGAAATGATAAATTCCGAAAATAATGCATTGGAATCTTATATTTAATAAATTTCAATAAAAATGACATTCCAAGGCCTGCTTAATAGTAAATAAGACAAAGAAGGAGATAAAGTAGGAAACAATTTAAGTCTAAAAATGGAAGTTTTTGGTGGAAAAATGAAACAAATTCAAAGCCTCGCCTTTAAAATCATCTTTTTCTAACTGAAAAATCCCTGCAAAAGTAGAAAATTCAATGGAAAACCAACATTCCAAAGCCTACTTGAAAAATCAAAGTTTTAGTCACTTACTCCATTGGAAACTGGGAATTTTTTGGTGGAAAATGGAGAAAACTCAAAGCCTCGAACTTTAAAACAGTGGAAAAGCGGAAGATTCGAGCTAGATAAAAATGTAAACTCGTCAATTAAAAATGGCACGACTGTCAAAAATGGCAAATGACATTTATTACAAGGTCTACTTGAAGTTGGCTACAAGCGGTGTTGCCACATCACAAAACTTCCAAAAAAAATCATTTAAAATGGGATTCTACTTGTAATTTAATAATTAAAAACCCGTTAAATAATTAATTAATGACGATTTTAAAACTAGAAATTCTTTGAATAAGGCCTCAAAAACTTGCTTTTCAATAATTTTTTCTCACTTACCTTTTGACCATAAATTAATGGATCTGAAACTGGAAATTTCTAGCAGAAAATGGAGAAAACTCGAAGCCCCGTACTTTAAACCAGTTTTTTCGACTAAAAAAAACCCTGGAAAAGTGGAAAATTCGAGGAAAACCTGGATAAAAATGTAAACACGACACTTCAAAATGGCCGACTAATAATTTGATAGTGAGTAAGACAAAGAGAGATATAAAGTAGGATACTATTGTAGTCTAAAAATGGAAATTTTTTCCTGAAAAATTGCAGCAAATTTAAAGCCCCGCACTCAAAACAGTCTTTCTCCGATTAAAGAAGCCTTGGAAAAGTAGAAAATTCGATAGAAAACCAACATTCTAAAGCCTACTTGATCAAACCAAGGTTCTGGTCACTTACCTCGTTGAAAATTTTTGTCAGAAAATTAAGGAAACTCAAAGCCTCGTACTTTAAACAAAAGTTTTTTTGATTGAAAAATTCTTGAAAAACCGGAAAATTCAAGGAAAAGCTGGATAAAAACACTCGGCTGTCAAAAGTGGCAAAATGCCATTACATTACAAGGCCTACTTGATCCTTAAGTAGAAAAAAAATACATTTTACACATTTGACACTAATTTATATAAAAATAAAAAATAATATATCTACAAGGTGATTTCCAAACGCATAAACTCTCCACTGCGACGTAGAATTTCCTTCAGAAATTTCCAGAAAAATAGTGAAAGAAATCTTTCTCGAAAATTAGTGGTTTAAAATGTCTACATCTAAAGTGTCATTTACATCCACTTAACTGAACTTAACGTACGGAAAATTTACAATAACAGTATATCCACTAGAAAATAAGAAAATTAACGTGACACACGGAAAAGTTGGGCCAATTTCAACATAAGGAAATCCGTACATTAATTTCTGGTTCTGTGCTTATAATTTGACTTGACAGTTGAGGTTATAAGAATGCATGCTTCACATAAGAAAATTAACTTTATCGTAAACACAAACCTTCTCAGTTTTGTACGTTAATTATATATAATTTTCTGCACGTTAAGTTAAGTGGATGTAAATGACCCTTAAGATGTTGCCAATTTTACTGTGTTCTTCTAATAACTTATATTATTTCAAGTATTTTTCTGAGGATCCTTGAAGAATTCCCTACGACGTAGTGGAGAACTTATGGAATCACCCTGTATATCTAAGGTGGTAAACTGGTAAAGTCTTGATTTCTTACATTCTTATGTAGACTTATAATTATTTCTCAATCTCAAGCATAAAAGCAAAATCGACGTGTCCAAGCGTGTTTTCCTCATTTATTTTATATTGAATATGTTCCATACTTTAGGCTATGCTTTAGGTTCACCCTGTATATTTCAAAAATATATATATTTCTCTCGTCTTGTACGTGAAGCTATAGAAATCCACAAACATACGGAGAACTTCAATAGGAAAGAAGAAACACTAAAACTTAACCAAATCTGGAACCCCATCTTCAAAAACGTATTGAGTACAGAAAAAGTTGAGATTAGCTACAAGCCGCAAAGCCTCGTCCCTTCTCCACCACAGCGACTCACACATAAATACAACTTACGGTCGGGAACGCGTCAGTCTGCTACCAGAATCGGACATGGAAGCACCTCTGAAGATGCTAGCCACACATACTAGCGAAACTTCAGGAAGAAATTCCAACTTAGGCCCAAATGAAAACCCCTTATTAATAAATACAAATTGTCTAGAATTTATTAAGATGGTAATACTTACTTTGACTAATCTTCTTTGCATGTAACCAGTTTCAGCTGTTTTTACTGCTGTGTCGACGAGACCTTCACGACCACCCATTGTGTGGAAGAAAAATTCGGTAGGGGTCAGGCCGCTGTAAAAACTGTTTTCCACAAATCCTTTGGCTTCTGGAGTTTTGGCTTACGAAAATATATTTGATTGTTGTATGTGTGTATAGTAGTTTTAATTCAAAAGACCCCGCATAGTAGCATGTAGTTATTGATAAGAAATGTGCGAGGTCTTTTGTATTTAAAACCACAAAATTCGATAATTAAAACCACAATTACTTAATGTTGGACGAATTTAACAGAATGCCCTTTTGGATTAAAGAACACGCCAGCAACTTTCCAAAGAGTAATGTACAATGTATTACAGAATAGAATTCAATGATGAATTTGTTGACAAAATAACAAAAAAACCTGTATACTTACAATGATGATGAAAGTGCGGCAAAGATCTATTGTCGAACCCATTAGGTACCCTTTTTCCATTCAAAGCTTGCTGTCCCACGCAAGCAATCATTTGAGAAATATTAATAAACGAACCTTTGGAACCTGACAAGGCCATTATAAGTGGACTATTGGTCGAATGTAATTCAGCCACACAAGCCTGACCAGCGTGTTCTCTTATAACTGACAACTCTTTTAAAATTATAGCTTCCAAGGTTTCTTCTGCACTGCAACCTGGTTGACATTGCAGCTTGCCTTGAGCCATTTGCTTAATGTATTCTTGACATTTTTGATAACCGTCAGTTAATAAGGCATTTTTACGTTTAACTAATTCTTCTCCAGGAGTCACATCACCAATACCAATAGAAAACCCTGAGTTCATCAAATAGCTTGAAGTCAATCGTGCCAGTCTCCACATTGCTTTAATGGAAAATTCTTTGCCAAAATCTCTTAAGATTACGTAAAATATGTTGCCACCTTTGCCTCCGCTGCCCAAATGGCCCTTGTCCAATGTACCAGCAATTAATTGAGAGTTTCTTATTAAAACATAGGAGTCTTTGAAGCACATTTCTTTATTTTTCGTGTAGGCTTTGCCTTTAGCTTCTAAGTTGGCCAGCACGATTGATTGCTTGTTGGGCTTGAAGATTAGGGAGATTATTTGTTTGCCCGACCATAATTTTTGAGGCTGAAATGAGGATAAATATTACTATGGATACACCAATTCAGATATAGACAATAATTACTATAGTCGATTAAAGGCGATTAACCACTCGGTTATATTGACAGATGAACAATGCATTTAACGTCATTTATAACCGATTGGTTGACAAATGACGTTTGCTTCATTGGTTATCTGTCAACTATGACCGACTGGTTAATCGCCTTTAATCGATGTATGATGTAGAACAACAACAAAATGGCTACCAGCAGCAAGCGTATAAGTACTACTAATACACTGAAGCCCACTATATATATCCATCACTAATCCACCTTTAAGGCTTCTTATGAATACCGCCGCAACGAAATCATTTATCCATCTAGACATGTCTCTACCTAACCTTTACAAACCAGATTAAACACCATATGTTCAATGTCAGATCAATGAATTATCAGAGCAAGCCAGTCACCTTGATCTACCCTGATATGAATAGTTCCAGAAAAACCAAACGCCTCCAGAAAAATAAAATGGCGGATAGTAGTGGACTATAGGAAAGTAAACGAGCAAACTATCGACGATAAATACCCAATCTCAAACATAACAGACATTTTGGACAAACTTGGTAGCTGTTAATACTTCACGACATTGAATCTGGCGAGTGATTTTCACCAAATCAAAATGATACGTAAAACTGCTTTCAATGTCGAAAATAGCCGTTACGAGTATGTCCGGATGCCGTTTGGCCTAAAAAATGCTCCAGCTAGGTTCCAGAGGATGATGGTTAACGTTTTTAAAGGCTTACTATGTCACAAAGGATTCTTAAGCCGGGCTCAGACGACTCGTGTACGGAGTACAGATCACCCCAACAAAGGCAATTCGGTATCTGGGGATCATGATCGGGGAAAACATGACTTTTTGTCTACAAATACAGAGCATAGTGCACACGTCTAAACATAGAGCTGAGGAACGTAACACCTGAAGGCATAGTTGAAAGGTTTAACGCAGCTAATTTGCATATTTCCCTGTACCCCGACGCGCCCCTGACCCATATTTTCGGCTATAGATTGGGCAAAATTTGCTGGTAAAAGACAGTTTTCCACCGGTCTCCGAAAAGCCAGCCGACCTGACAGCAGTAATAGCAGCATCACCACCAGAACCGCCCGAGGTAAGCCAACCTGCCGTAATCACAGTAGGGTCGCGAATTACGCCAGAAGGTAAAAATCAATTATATAAGCTTCACTAAGATTTTCGCCCGGTACCTTGGACGGGTAAATCTTTTCCTGCAATAGAGGTTTCGCCTGGTACCCTGGACAGGTAGTCTCTATTGCTCACGGGTAGTTCTGTATGAGAGATTTTCAGTGGCGGCTCGTGACTATTTCAAGTGAGGAGGCTAATTACAGTATAGGATTTCATGAAATTCCTCGGAATTCCATTAAGATTTCAATTTCAAAATTCCATATTTTTTTTTAAACTTTACTAAAATTCCTCAAAATTTTACTACTGAAATGTCCTGGAATTCCACAAAATTTTCATAAAATTCTTTGCAATTTCATTGACATTTCATGTGATTTCTTAAAAATTTCTCGGATTTCACTAAAATTTTATGAGAATATCCACTTTCATTTCATAACCGAAAATTTCTCGAAAGTCCAATGAAACTTCAAGGAATTTTCAAAATTTAATTTATTCTCATAGAATTTTTCAGAATTTCACTGAAATTCTCTTTTAATAGCCAGGAATTTCTGGGAATATTACTGAAGTTTCAAGTAATTTCTTAAAAATTCATTACATGGTAATTTTTCGGAATATCACCGAAATTCCATGTTTTTAGTTGGAAATTTCTCGGCATTACTAAAATTCAGTAAAAACTGAAATTTCATGTTGGGAATTTCGGTGTAATTTCATGTAATTGTTTAAAATTCCTCCATGTAATTCATTTAGGATTTCGTGTAATTCGATCGGAATTTCACTAAAATTTCAAGTAATTCGAGAGGAATTAAAATTTAATTTAAATTCTATGGAAACTCCACAAAAATTTCACATCTAATTCCTTTTTCAGAATAACATAATTATTCTACCGAAATTCCACTAAGTTATGGAATTCTGAGATTTTAATGGATTTTTGGGGATTCCAAAGGATATTTGGGAATTTTAAAGGAAATATTTTTCAGAAATTTCAATGATTGGGTTTAAAATAACCTATAAATCGAGATTTGATAAAAACATATGGCAACGCTGCTCATGATACAACAAACGTCAAAAAATTGAAATATCAAAGTAGGCCTTGGTTTTTTTTGACAGTCGATATAAAATGGCGTCTTTTTGTTTCAAAGATTACGATCCGAAAAGCCGAAGTATTAAAATCAGTTAACAATGAACGGGTTCGTATAATTTCGGCCCTTCGGGCTCGTATAACGTCGGACCTTCGGGCTCATGATTAAAATAACTCCAGCCTGTCGGGTTCGTATAACTCCGGCCCTTCGGGTTCGCATGATTCCGGCCCTTCGGACTCGTGTAACCTCGGCCCTTTGAGCTCATAATTGAGATAACTTCAGCCTTCCAGAATCGAGATTCGAAAAAAAAACATATGGCAACACTGCTTATAATACAACAAACGTCAAAAAATTGGCCCTGTTTGGCTACTTTTTATTTTACGTATTCGCCGAGGTTGAATCTATATGCCCATGTAGGTTTTTTTTTTAAAATTTGACTGTCAACGTCAAAAATTTTTACCTTTTCTTTTTTTCAAAAAACAAATGTCAGAAAACGATCCCCAGTCTCCGAAAACCCTAAAATAAGAAGTTTCATCGATATATGTCAAAAACCAACCGCTTGGCAACGCCGAACGTCTTTTTTGACATATGTTAAAAAAAAAAAAAATTGGTACTTCCTACGTATTCGCCGAGGCTAAATCTATATGCCCATTAAAATTTTGATAGCTGTCAAACTCAAAAAAAAATGTTTTGGTTTTTTCCAAAAAACAAAGGTCGTTTTTTAGTGGGTTTTAGGGTGAGATTTATGTATCAACATGTAGCAACAGTTGGTATAAAAAATTCAATTTCCCGTCGGGTTTGGAATTCGAATTTTTGAATTTTCCCGGCTCCTGATTGGTTTGGGGATTCGAATTTTGTTTATTCCCAGCTCTTGATTGGCTTTAAAATAATCTATAATTTCGGCCCTTCGAGCTCGAGATTTGAAAGAAAAACTTATGGCAACACTGCTCATGATACAACAAACGTCAAAAAATTGAAATTTCAAACCTTGAGTTTTTTTGACAATCTATACAAAATGACGTCTTTTTGTTTCAAAGATTACGGCCCGAAGGGCCGGAGTATGAAAAATCAGTTAACAATTAACGGGTTCGTTCGGATAAAACTTTTGTCGCACGACACTTTGGCAATATCGACAAATGTCAAATTTGACACATGTTCGACTTTTTCTTCGCGCTACTATAAAAGCTACGAAAATCAAACCCCGGTACAAGGCAGTTTCGCGCCGCTAACTATCGATTTGTGTCCAAAAAAATTGACAGCTGTTTGTTAACGTCAAAAAAGTTTTTTTTTTTATTTTGCGAATTTCGAGAAAAAAAGTGATAGAAAACGATCCCCGGACCCCAAAAACCTTAAATAAAAATTCCAAAAAAAAACCAACGAAAATGACATTCCAAAACCTACTTGATAAAACTAAAGTTTTTCTCACTTACCTACTCCGTTAAAACACTGGAAATTTTTGGTGAAAAATGAAGAAAACTCAAAGTCTCGTACTTTAAATAGGTTTTTCCGACCAGAAAAGCCCTGGAAAAGCGGACAAATTCAAAGAAAAACCTCTAAAAATGACATTCCAAAGCCTACTTAATGAAATTTGAGTTTTTGTCACTTTCCCCATTGGAAAACTGGGAATTTTTAGCACAAAATGTAGGAAATTCAAAGCCACGTATTTCAAATCGGTTTTTTTGACTGAAAACGGCTTGGAAAAGCGGAAAATTCGAGGAAAAACTGGATAGAAGTGTGAACACGTCAATTAAAAATTGCCGACTGTCAAAACTGGCAAATGATATTTATTACAAAACCTATTTGAAGTTGGTACAAACGGTGTTGCCACATCAAAACTTAAAAAAAAAATCATTTTAAATGGGATTTTGTTATTTATGTCATTTTAAAACTGGACATTTTTGCTAGAAAATGAAGAAAACTCAAAGCCTCGTATTAGTAGAGTTAAGACCGTGAAATAATCCTTCTTGAAAAGATTTTCGTCCGCACTTTATTGCTAAAATGTAGAACCTATTTTATATCGTTCCTCACACCTTAAGAAAGCAAAATCAATTGGTCGTCAAAAAATCGTGGGGTGCAGGGGGGTAGTTTGGGGTAGTTTTCCAAAAAATTGCAAAATAGCTATTTACCTAACAAGTGCTGAAAATGAATTTTTCCGCAAGTGTTAGGTACAATATTTTTCCTACAGGCGTAAAAATGTAAAATTTTTCCTTTTTTTTTGACATATCAGTGCGGCAAAATTTTTTCCGCACTGACAGCCGGGCGGAATAGCTATTTATACAATAAGTTACGAAATGAGCGTCTTTTAGGCACGCGACGTGAAAATTGTCCAACGAGGCAAAGCCGAGTTGGACAACACGTCGAGTGACTAAAAGACATCGTTTCGTAACGTATTGTATACAAGATTTTTTCTACTGGCATTTTATAATAAAAAAACACAATTTTATTTCATGTGAATAAGTCGATTACACCCAAAATCTTTGTTACCTACTTTTACTTGACACCTGACACTTTTCATGCGATTTTCTTTTCAAAATTCGACATCAATAATTAAAATCCTAGAAAGTAGGTAATAACACAAAGTTCTGTTTTGAGTAACCCAAACGTTCAATTCAGTAATTCCATTTTCAATATTCATAATAAATACAAAACAAAATTCAAATATGTGTTCAGTGTGTTTTTTATTTCTGAATAATGAATGACACTTTTAGGCACTAGTGCTTAAAAATTACTTTTACGCACTCATAAGTCACTTTT